AGAACATCAATTATTTAGGACTTTTTTAACATGGACATTACCTGCATTCTTTAAGTGATTTCCTTGCCTTTTCAGTAAAGGTTAGGAAAAAAAGGCTTATACTAACATTTGCATAAAATGCAAAAATTGGATGTACCAGTGTTGCCAATGCTAGTATTTGTGTGGCATTTTTGCAAATGTTGGTAATTTTTTTATTTGTATTTAAAAATGTAGGTAAACCTTTTAACAAACATAGGCGATAGGCCTTTTTCTTGTAGTGTAAGCAATAGCAAATCCCAACAAAGAACCAAAGACCGAATACCGTTCTTGATCATGCATGCTTATGTTCGATTTTATCATAGAATCTTGAAATCACGAGTAGATTCAAAACCTACGAAGTACTGACTCAACCATAAAGTGCCCACTTAAAACAAGTTACTAGTCTTTTTGATTTGTGATCCATTTTAACTCCAAACCATTTGACTCATAAGCAGAATTTGATTTGCTCAATCATGACTTGTAATGTTCTGATCCACTTAATTGCTTATCAAGTGCAGAAGATATACATATATATGTATTGCTTAATGAGTTCACATTGTATATAGATTGTTTTTATTTTCTATATTGCGCCCTCCTGTTTGACCATATGTAGTTCAACATTTCATACAGAGGAGGCGGATCCTATTTTTGGAGGCAAGCTAACTTATCAATACCATCCAAGTCAAAAGGAAAAAGAATGCATTTTTGCTTCGATTAACAAGGAGTATTATTAATTAAACTCCATTGGAAATTGTTGTGGACCAGATTTCTTGATGGCTTCTTTGTTTGTTTGTTTTTTTTTTTTTTTTGGTTGGCAATATTGTAATGAGATTGAGAAGCTAACATATCAATATACCATCCAAATCAAAAGGAAAAAGAATGCATTTTTGCTTCCATTAACAAGGAGTATGGACTAGACTTCTCGATGGTTTGTTTGTTAATTTGTTTTTAATAAGTTAAAATATCTTTAATAAATTAAATGAGATTGAGAAGCTAACATATCAATATACCATCCAAATCAAAAGGAAAAAGAATGCATTTTTGCTTCTATTAACAAGGAGTATGGACCAGACTTCTGGATGTCTTGTTTGTTAATTTGTTTTTAATAAGTTAAAATATCTTTAATAAATTAAATTTTATCATTTAATGTATCATAACATTCTAATTTTCATTTATACATATTGTAATATAGTAAAAACGTAAACCAAATGATATTAATACTTTAGTTAATATTATCGTACTTCCTAGGTTTTTGACTAAATTTATAAATAAAAAAAAAAACAATATTTACACTTTTACTTGGACGCAACTTATTTCAATTAAAATAATAATAATAATAATTTTTTAATAAATTTTACACGTGACTCGTGCTCGCAATATGAGTTTTTTGTTCACAACATTTGCTCGAATTGTCTTACTCTCATTTTTCGTTTCCCTTACTCTCAATTCCCTTACGTATAAAAAAAAATAATAATAATAATAATAATTTTTCAATGTTAATTTTTTAACTTAAACCTTAAATTATTATTTTTTAGGGAATAAACCTTAAATTAATTAATTAATCAAATTATAGGTAATTATAGGTCCGTGTCATTTCATTATCAATAACTGTACAAACAAAAATTCAACGCCTTTTGCAAAAAAAAAAAAAAAAGAAAGAAGAGGAGGGCAAAAGCGTTTTTCCCTTCTCCCAACTATTTAAAAGCCTAACTAGCACTTGATTTTCTCACCACAGCTTACTAATCTTTCTTACTAATTAAGTCTCAATTTAGTCCCTCTTTTAAGCTAGAAGACGTGAAACTTGTTTGGTGTCCGGATATGGCTTCAAAAGCTTATATAGACACCGTTAAATCAGTAAGCTTTGCTTAATTCCTCCTCTCTAAATTTTTTGACTTTGTTTTTATATATCTGCAATTTGTCGGTGGTTCTTACAGGTAGTGCTGGAACTAATTAGTGTTTAATTAAACCTTAATTAATTTTAGGATTAATTAAAGTTTTGACCTTCAATTGGTAGTATCTATGAAATCCACCAAGCTCCTTGTTTTTTTTTTTTTTTCCAACTGGAACTACTACAGTACTACTACCTTTGGTTTTTTTTTTTTTTCGTCTCTCTTTCATAGCCTTTATGCATTTATTTGAAAAAGAAAAAAGTTTTGATTTTTTTCTTTATTTTTTAAAATTTAAATTTTAACGTACGCCTGTAGCATTTATTAGATTTGGGTATGGTTGCTGTTGGGTGCAGTTGTTATTATATATATCCAGTTTCAGCATTGAAAAGATTCGATCTTGTTTAATGGTGGGTTCTAATAATTATTCCCCAAGTAATTACAGTTATACTTATACAATGGAATGAATGGGAAATTTCATGTCAGAAGCTTGGATTTAATATTCTGTCCTGTTTTGGACAACGTTCTCCAACGTCAAGTTGCTGTGATTTGAGGAAAGCGTAAGGTCACTCAATTCATCACCCGTCAAGTATCTGAGGCTAGCAGATGTGAAGATTTCATCGACACAAATCTTGAAGGGAAGTTCTCAGAATATGAGGCAGCTAAACTGGTGAAAATTGCTCTGCTTTGCACAGGCCGTCCATGGACAATGTCATGCAAGAACTAAGTGAACTAAGTGAACTGGTTGGCAGTTCTTAAATTCCTAGGGAAGTCTGAAGTCATTGCCTTGCCTTGAGGCAAGTTTCAACTATTTCTAACATTTGTTTATTTTTTTCGTATTTATTTCTAACATATGGTTAATGTGGGATGTTGGCTACTAAATGTTTCTAATGGCATGTTCTTTTCCCAAGGACTGTGCCAACCTGATCATGGCTGTAATTTGTGGGTGGGAAGAGAAATGTGACTACCATGTAGAACTCCACCCTTGTAATCGTTTTAGCTTAATTTTAGTTATTTGAAACAAAATTGTTATTCATTTCAGGGGGGAAATTGGTCCCATTCTGCAATGCATGAAAGATTTCTAAAGCTTCTGCACGGTATCTATCTGAAAGCGGCTTTATATTTCCATTTCCATTTAACTGTGAAGCGATGCCGTTTTAATTAAATAAATTTTATCAAGGCCCATTAAGATTTTAAAAGGGCCGGCACATCAAAGCCCATATATATCCAATCGAACCAACATTGTCCAATTTCGTTTCTTCTTTGTAAAGGAGAAAAAAATACCCACACAACTTAGAGCCTAAGTGCATAGGCAACGTATAAGCTGACTAGGGAGTTTTTTTTAATAATTTTTTTTATAATTTTAAGAAAATAAAAAAATAAAAATGTCAGACAATTTGAAAAAGTACAGAATAAATAGAAAAAGTACAAAACATTTTCCTATTTATAATCATGTTTGAAAAGCATAATTTAAGAAAATTACTTGACATTTAATTTTTTAATATAATTTTTATAATAAATTAAATGACGGTGTTTCATTTGGTTAGAAGAAAAAAAAAATTGCTTAGGTGCTTTAGGCATCATTAAGTGCGCCTAATAGTGTCCGGGTGTGTTTAATTGATTTAGGCAATGCAAATCGTATTGAATTTCTGCTTAGAGGTTGATGCAAAAAGAATGAGACTGCCTAGAGTCTTGGCAACATCTAGGCACTACCTAAGCCTACTTTTTACAACACTAACCATGATGTTTTGATTTTTATTTTTTTTTATTGTAATAATATAGTAAAAGCTTAAACCAAACAATATTAATACTTTAATCTATACTATCCTACTGCCTGTCTTATTGACTAAACCTATAAAAAAACATATTATTTGAACTTTTACTTGGATGCAACTTGTTCCAATTAAACAATATTTTTCTAATGTCAACCTTCTAACGTAAACCTTAAATTAATTAAACCAAATAGTCAATATACTTCTGTAATACTATCGTGCTACCAAGGACGGAGTCGAGAATTTATGTTAGAGGGACAAATTTTAAAATTTTGTGTGTCATTTATCACTTTATATGATATAATTTATATCATTTTTTACATCAATCATTAATTTTACGCAC